GCGCTTGAATTGTGGTAATTTTAGGGCTAGATCCTGAAACAAAGAACAGTCTCACGAGGAGATTCGTGATTTGTGTGTGGTATGAGTGATGATGCTCGTGAAAATGAATAGAAACGTTGTCTAGTTCACGTGGCCGTACTTGCGAACATTTAAAATACCGTGTTTTAGAGCGGCTTTTGCTTCACATTTGGGAGGTCCTGGATTCAAATCTCAGTGTGGAGACCTCTAGTGTGACCGAGTTTTTTTTGGGTTTTTCTCGGTCCCTTCTAATAGATGCCGGGACGACACGTTCTTCCTTCCAATTTATTGTTTGGCGACCGTCATACCATTTGACCGGGTGTAGTCTGAGCTGCGGACAGCGTCGTCACATAAATCGCAAATAAGCAAGCAGAGTTCGAGTGCTCCTGACAGCACGCTCAGTTTTCGCAGAATTGAAATCTTCTGATGACCTGTGTTTCATCTCCAGTCAAAATTTGATGATCATATTTATTTTCTGACAAAATCGTGGAAATGAAAATAAGTATTTTGTGACTTACGAAGCTTATTGCGTGGAGGTGAAGCTCCACGCAGTCTGTTGAGGAGCGGAAGTGGCTTATATGAATGTAGATTTTTAGTTCGTAAGGCAAAGTTAAAACGAATGTTTCCGTTCTTGTGAAGAGATTGGTCGCGGTGCATCGCTATTGATTGCGGACACACGCAAAAAGAGCCGATGAACCCGGCTGGAGCTAATAGAGCGTGACAGCGTGGCTGAGCCGGGATTTCATGTTTCTTGTCGGTACGACCGCACTCGTATCACTGCAGGCTTAATCTGCATCTCTGGCAGGCTTTAGCGAGAGCTGACTGGATGATCCTGGCCATCATTCAAACAGTTTTCCTCTGCGCTGCGAAAATGTATTAGGGAGTGAAACTTAACATGAAGATGGCTGTCTTCTGGGTTGTAGCGCCATGTTCTCTGGTATGAGTTTACTGAAATTTTAGAAGTCCTTGCTGTTTCCATCGTCAGGAGTGAATAGCTTCATATTAGTCGTCTGAAATACTGCACTTTATGCATTTACAGTAAAAACGTAAAACCTGAGATTTTTTAGTTGTCCGCTCTCTGTCGTAAGTATTTTGGCTTCACGTACGTCTGCTTGCAAGCCTGAATATGCTGAAGCTATAATTTGGTTTAGTGGCTTCTACGTTCACCTTTTCCGAACAATTCTGCCCCAAGCAGGTGTATTGTATTTTTCTCGAACCGTGTTTTTGCGGTCCTCGGCTGTCGTGATTCCACGCGGTGTCTGTCGCGCCTTCTGAATGTTATCGCAGTCAAGCAGCTATTCAGGACACGGCGAAATACAAGTCGTAGGAAGCGGAGCGCTGTTGGCAGTCCGAAAGTTAAATGGAGCCGAATGCTCTGAATTCAAACGCCGACTAATACGGGATGTTGTTGCGTTTGGAAGTCGTGTTCTCCCTCCCTCCCAGTGGGTAATGTTTGTTTCTCTCAGTTTGCCCCACTGCATTTCCCTGTTCAATCCCAACTTAATGTCTCTTTTCTACGAAACTTTGGAAGTTGAACTCACACCCTTAGATCCAAACAAGCGCGAGAGATTAAGAAACTTCTCCAACAGAGCAGTTACAAAGCTGCAGCAGACAGTAGCGGCATAAATTGCGATTATTTAAACCAGGAGCAGTATCAGACGCAAGACACCATTTTGCGTGTCCGTGCACTCACTGATGTAGATCTTTCTAGTAAAGTTTGTTGAAATAAGAAGGAAGTGTGTGAATTTACTGCGCTCAGCGAGTTCTGGTTGAATCTAAAAATATTAACGGCGTCAAACTGCTTTTAGGGAAGAAATTGTTTCATGCCGGTTCTTTCTCGAAGCTTGCACGCGGTTGACACAAATTGGCCGCGTTTGGAACAGACGTACTGACGTAAAGACAGTCCACTTTGAAAATTTGTCTTGTGAAGGAAGTATTTGGAAATGATTTAAAATCTTCGCGGCGTGGGCGGCCCGGTCTCATTCTGGCCGTGGCGACCGCCGTGTTGCTCGGCTCTGAGCGCCAGTTATCGACTGTTCTTTCTCCCTTTCTGTTATCGAGTGTTAAGTGTTGAGGATTTAGGCAGCTTGGCCCATATTCAATTTGTTCATCGCCTCAACAGTTATTGAACTTCCCACCCTCACTCGATTGAGCGCCGATGGGGATGGGAGGGGATCGACGTCGGTCGTTAGCAGCCGACGCTGATTAGCAGGAATCGGCCGACATGGACTGTACCGCCCCATTGTAACCGCGCTGAAGAGGCTGAGTGTGTGAGTGCGACGGTCGGTAACCTTGATGGCGCCTCGTTGGTCTGTGTCCAGTGTTGGAGATCATATTGGGCG